TCATAAGTTCCCGTTGTAATTTAAACACACATTGTCTAACACTAAGTTCAATTATCTCTTTTTTTCCTAGACAGTTTAAGAGCACTAATGATAAAGATCTTAATCGTTAGCTCTAGTTTGTCCATCAGATAAGTCACTGAAACTCCAAATGTTATCTCAACAGATATTCTCTACGATTCTTGGTCCCCAGCAATGACCGTAAGTTCAATTTGCATCAGCATTCTCTCTATGTTGTCAAGTTCACCAGTTAAGGTATATCGGGTTTCCAATCATTGCTATTTTGTTGTTCTATTTTAATTCTCTCTGTTTCTATTACGTTAAACATTTTATGTATTGATATTCGGGGCCTATGCAGCAACAACCGGCTGACAACGACCGTTACGTGAAGAACTGTAAGAACGGACGGTCTCCCAAGGAGACGAGATGGTGGTTCCATGACGATAAAGTGTGATGTTGAAAACTCCCGAGAGGAACTGTGATATTGTCTCACTCTAGGTCCCTTAGATTTTCCTCCCTCACTAACATTAGGGGAAGAAAAGGAAAAACTTGTCTGAATTCAGAAAGAATAAAAATTAAAAAAAAAAAAAAAATCTTTATTTTTACGTGTATTCTGGATTGTTTGCACGGCGCAAAACATTTGGTAGTTGCTAATGTCTAATGTTGATGTATTTATGTATCTAATATCAGTAGTTTATATATTGTCTCAAGCAAAAATGGTGGATCTATGCTCATAAGTCTTATAAATGAGGGAACACAAATCAAACTAGGGCTTGCTTGAATTTAACTCTAGATTTGTGTGATGCTTGTTGTTCCTTTGTCTGCGTTTGCTATGAAGTAATTCAATCCATCCCCTTAGTTTTGTAGATTGTTTTAACTCATACTGAGGAGGAGTCTAGGTTTATTTGCAGCATTTTATATTTGTATCCAGCAGTTTTATCTGATAGTCTATTCCTATCACAGCATTTGACTTGTATTCCTTCTACTCTTGTGCCAAAAAGATTTTGCTTTATTTAGTAGACATTTCAGTAGTCGTGTTAAGTAAGGAGTCATCAGTTTATAGGCATTTTATACTCTTGTGAAAGAATACTTGGTTTGATTTATAAATAGATTATTCTCACATTAAGACACTTTCAAATTTAGGCATTTTATACTCTTGACAAAGAAACTTTGATTTGTAAACAGATTATTCTCATATTAAGACACCTTCAAATTTGTAACCAACCTCGTCAAATATTCCTTATTGCGCGTTTTCCTCCCAATCAATTTATCAGTTTAACGGATATGTATGCAATTTGTAACGAATTAATTACCCAGGGCACGGGCCCTCCCAATCAATTTATCAGTTTAACGGATATGTATGCTATTTGTAATGAATTAATTACCCAGGGCACGGGCCGAACTTTCGAGATTGTCCATTTAACGAGATACAAAAAACAATCGCACATCACACCCCATTAAGTTAGATTTATGAATTTTTTAATATTTTAATTCTACCTTTATCACTATTAAAATTACATCTATTATTCCTCGCCCCCAACCCATTTGTTTCTGGCAGAGCACCCATTTGTTTCTGGCAGAGACGAAGAAATGAAAACACGCCCATCGTCGACAACACACTTCAGAAGGTCCGACTTGTTGAAGGTTGTCAACGGATCCGACGTCACAAGAGCTTCTCCGCCTTCGCCACGCACCACCGGCGGGAGGTTTGCTCCTTAGCGCTATCCTAGCCGTCGCCGACATCAACTTCGATTCGAGATCTATGTCCGGCTCCTTCCTCCCTCTGTAGGTGTCGCCCGCCGCCTTGATGCTCAACATGTAACTGCCTTGAGATTAAATTTGTGGTTTGGTAATTTAGGGTTTAGCAATATTCTTTTTCTTTTGTTGTAGAAATTTCATTGATTGATCTTTGGATCCATGAGTTGATGAGAGTTGTTTTAATTTATGCTCAAATTTCTTTTGGTATTTGAAAGAGACTTTAAAATTAGGCTAAAAGACACATCTATTGCCTTTGCAAAAAAGTTTTTCACATTGACGAGCATTTGAAAACATTTCCAGTTCTATGTTTAAGTTTCTTTTACAGTTTAAATATATCATTTTCTTCAATAATTCTTTTAGTTGTTTTCAAGTTTATTTTAAGTTTATTATTACATGATATCTAAAATTTTTATAAAACTAATTTGAAACTTTTGATTTATCTTAAGTTTATTACCTATTTTTCACTCAATCACGAAAAAATAAATAAACCAAAAAATCGAATGCAAAAAAAAAATTAAAAAAAAATATAAACTATAAATAAGATAAAAAAAATTAATTAGCATAATTAAGTTTATTATCTATATTTTACTATATGTAAGTTTTTTTATGATTCAAATCTATTGTTTTCTTTCTATAATGCTTTTAGATTTTTTTTTTCAGTTTATTTTGAGTTTATTTTAACCTTGTTGAATGATATCTAAATTTTATTTAAACTAATTTGAAACTTTTGATTAATCTTAAATTTATGATCTATTTTTCCCTAAATCACGAAAAGATAAATGAACAAAAAAATGAATATAAACTAAAAATAAGACTAAAAAACAATTAATAAACATAATCAAATCATCGATAAAACATCAAATTAACTCTCAGATGTTTTATTCCCTTTGTGTTTTTGAAGGATTTTGAGAGTTAATTTGATGTTTTGTCGATGATTTGATTATGTTTATTAATTGTTTTTTAATCTTATTTTTAGTTTATATACAATTTTTTTTTATTCGATTTTTTTGTTCATTTATTGTTTCATGATTTAGGGAAAAATAGATCATAAATTTAAGATTTATCAAAAGTTTCAAATTAGTTCAAATAAATTTTAGATATCATGCAGTAAAGTTAAAAATAAACTGAAAACAATCTAAAAGAATTATAGAAGAAAATGATAGATTTAAACTATAATAAACTTAATTACAGTAAAATATAGATAATAAACTGAATAACATTAATTAATTGTATTTTAATCTTATTTATAGTTTATATTTAGTTTTTTTTTTGGCATTCTATTTTTTGGTTTAATTATTTTTTTCGTGATTGTGTGAAAAATAGGTAATAAACTTAAGATAAATCAAAAGTTTTAAATTAGTTTTACATAACATGCAATAATAAACTTAAAATAAACTTGAAAACGACTAAAAGAATTATTGAAGAAAATGATATATTTAAACTAAAAAAGAAACTTAAACATAGAGCTGGAAATATTTTCAAATGCTCATCAATGTGGAAAACTTTTTTGCAAAGGGAATAGATGTGTCTTTTAGCCTAATTTTAAGGTCTCTTTCAAATACCAAAAGAAATTTAGCATAAATTAAAACAAATCCCAGCAAAGGTGATGTTGAGCATCAAGGCAGCGGACGACACCTACAGAGGGAGAAAGGAGCCGAACATAGTTCTCGAATCGAAGGTGATGTTGGCGACAGTTAGGATAGCGCTAAGGATGCAAACCCCCGCCGGTGGTGAGTGGCGAAGGCGGAGAAGCTCTTGTGACGTCGGATCCATTGACAACTTCAACAAGTCGGACCTTCTGGCGTGCGTTGTCGACGATGGGCGTGTTTCCGTTTCTTCGACTCTGCCAGAAACAAATGGGTTGGGGAGAGGAATAATAGATGTAATTTTAATAATGATAAAGGTGAAATTAAAATATTAATAAATTCGTAAATCTAACTTAATGGGGTGTGATGTGCGATTGTTTTTTTTTTTATCTCGTTAAATGGGCAATCTCAAAAGTTCCGCCCGTGCCCTGGGTAATTAGAATTACATAGTGTGCAGTGGTCGTTTGAAAACAGTCATAAACCATGTACAGTGAAAATCGATAAATGCGAGTAGATAATGTGTGTTTGGATGTTAGGAGATTGGTGTAATATCGGATTGAATTTCATATTAGTAGTTTAACCTGTTAAATCCACTAATTAACTTGTTTCGTAAAAAGTTTATGTAATAGCCCGCTACGTTATTAATGTAAATTACGCATTTAGTTCTGAAATAATTATTTTATCGATCATTATCGTTCGGAACTAATTATCTAAATCAAGATTCTTCGAATTAATTTTCGAGATCATGTTCATGCTCGGAATAATTTTTGTAAGTAATTAAATTCATATGTTATAAATTAATTCATGCTTAATCATATATTACCGAGCTTAGTCATGTTAATCGTGCACTAATCGCCATGCAATTGTTGCATGTCAACCGTAGAATGCAAAGTTAAGTATTATGTTATGGCATGCTAACAATACTTAGAGCCGCACTTAGCATTTCCTAATTGCCGCAAGCTTGGTGCAACCTTCACGTGATTTTATCATTACTAACTTGCTAAGGTGGCATTTTCTTAAGCATCTATGTAATGACTAAGCAAATTATGTACACCTAAGGCTCTTCTTGTGCGGCAAGTGTTGAGACTTCATTGGCTATGGAATTTTCTTCACCTTTTCACCTAGAGTTACCGCCTTTCGTCCCTATATATTGCATTAAGTGTACGGTAAAAACCACCTTACACTTAAACTTCATATTAAGAGAGAGTTAGTGAGAGTTTGGCCAAGTTAGTCAAGCAGCGCACGGAGAAGAAGGAAAAAGAAGCCACGCACGCTCACACGGAGGAGCTAGTCCGAGAGATCACGAGAGCTTTGTTCAATTGATCGTTTTAGTAAGGAGGTAACTCCATCTTCACCTTCTTTCCATGTTAATATAACCATGTCCAGTCCCAGTCATGTTATTCGGGTCATGTTAGGGCCATGTTAAGCTCGGTTTAAGTCATTTTAAACCATGCCGAGCCATGTTCGATTCTTTTCGGCAACTCCCGAACGAATTTCATTCCTTTAGTCATTGTTAGATATACCATGTTCAGTTATGTTATAATTGTCGAGGGAAATGGTTGTTTGGGCGAAGGATTGGCCAAAACCGTCGGCTACGCACGTAGCGCAAGCCGAAGCCATTTACATCTCATCAAGCTATGTTCACGGTCATTCGACCTATTTACATGTGATTAGTCCTGATATGTTATGTTAGGTCTTTTTAAGTTAATGTTTTCGGGAAAAGTTCGAAGGAATTGCTTGAAGTCGTCGACGAAGCACGGTGCGCACGCCACGGCCATTCACTTGATTAAGTTACAATTATGATCCTTCGAGCAAATTACGTGTATTTATTCATGTCATGATGGGTTATGATGTTTTAAGTTAAAGTTGCCAGAAGAAATCACCGGCCGGCAGGCAAGGGCCGG